TTCTATGATGCACTATTTTAATGTATAGAAATGGTGAATTGCTTTTAGAGTAGGCTAAAAACTAAAACTAAAAAAAAATCAACAAATAACTACCGGCACAGTTATAATAGATTGTCAATTGTGCCGGACCAAAATAAAAATAGTAATTATGGTCGGTAATCGTTTCGCCAGTGAACATTTTGTCGTACTGATTTTAGCCGTTACATACAATTGAAAAAACTTTCACCTGAAACCATCGTTCATCACGTGGACAGTTATGTATTACTGTAAAGCAAAAAACTGGCAGGGCCTGTAGCCAACAATAAAATACATCATCATTCTTAATGAACAGCGGCGAAGTTACTCACCAGACGGGATCATAATGATGTACTTAAGGAAACAATTTCCAAATCTATGGTATTGGTTATTGAAAAAAAACAAAAACCTGTGTCAACTAAAATATGTGACGCAACTTGTGGCGACAGTAACTATATAGTCGCGCTGCAGATGTTCTGAAATATGGCGGCAATCATGAGAAAACATTTTTTTTCCTGAAAAACAATATTGTTTGCATAAGGAAAAAAATTATTATTGAAATAATCCGGTAAAATACAAACACTTAAGATTAATTAATGTATATGACATACATTTTTTTCCCGGCATTTTTACTTCTAGTGCGGTACTACTGGAGTATTGTAAACAAAAAACTGTTAATGGAATAACATTTGCTTTTTTTTTTTAATAATAATAAATTGAAGTATAATTTTTTAAGACCTTGAATAGTATGTTTTCGTTAAATTCTGGGCATTGTTTTTTGGACAGCGACACGAAGATTGTAAAGTAAAACAACAACGATAAAAAAAAACATACCTTAATGTCACTGCAGCTGTACGGAAATCTCACATAATACGAAACAAAAGGTTGTGCCTTACAACTTTTTACTAACGACGTAGCTTTTATGGTGGAATAAAGTAGAAAATAGGGTTTTGATGGATTGCACATTACAAAGGGCGTGTCGAAAATAATCGCATGGTTACTCTACGGCAAAAGCTGTTCCAGTACACACTAATGGATTATTCGCAAACCTCTATGGTAGTTTGTCCGACTTCTAAAGATCATCATCGTTCCATCGTCCGGTTAAAGATATTGAAAAATAACAAGTGCCATAATCCGACGTTTAATTTATAATAAATGTATTTTTGGGCGCCGACGTAAAAGATTTTTCGTATAATATGTTATTTGGAATTTTTTGATAATAATATAAACGTACAAGAATATTTTGTAAGCACTGTAAGTGTTTTAATATAATATCGAATTGACAATAATATAGTAAGTATAGGTTTCTTTAAATTGTGTTAATCTAATCTAAGTACAAACCTCTACAAAGAAAATTAGAGTACTTACCGCCTACTTACAACCATGATATTTGGGTTTTCCAAAAAAAAAAATTCTGACTACAGATTATTTCATTTATTTTTATTTTTAGTTCATACGTATTCCCTGTATATACTACCAGTTCATATTTCAGATCCCAAGTACACTAACTGCCCCTATAAAAGCCATATAAATAAGTGGTTTTGATAATTTTGGTTATTGACAGCATATTTAGTTTTTGAAACCAATTTATTACTTCAACAGATACGTTAAGTGACGATAAAACCTAAATGTGGTAATACAATGTATACAGTTTGTAAATTTTCAATTCTCATCATATTGTATGTTTGAAGATGGTATAATCTCCAACAATGCTAGCCGTTAAATCGTTAGTAAGTCAATATTGACTTTCTGACTTAACTAATGCGGCCTAGTTTTGAATGTATTAACTTAGTTTTATAGATTCTGGTTAAACTTGCTATCGCAAACTAGGACACACGTTTTGTAATACTGTATTTCGTTATAAAAATAAAATTATAATTCAGAGCACACATTTTAATGTATTTTACTTTAATTATATCTTACAAGTGTTTCAAACGATTTCTAATGCAGTTTACACCGTCAGTGTATCGAGTTTACCAGTTTTACTGTAAATGTCTACTATCTAGCTAATATTTCTATTAAAAAAAAAAACAATAATTCCTAATTCCTTTTATAACGATGACAAGTTCAAGACACAAACTATAATATGTTATTCAAATTAACTTTTGATGATTATTTAATTACGTTAATATTAATTAGTTCATGAGTAAGTTCGATGATAATAAAATTAAACGTTACTTGTAAAACTATTAATAGCATTCAGTTTCACAATTTCGAGTTTTAGTTTTATTAATTGACGCGTGTTGTACGCACTGTAATTGGATTTACTTCAAGTACTAAATTATTACACTAATTAATATACATTTTTTTTATGTCTTCATTGAGAATTATTATTAAAACTGTTACACTTGTGTCATTAAGCAAAAGTTGGACGAGATATATTAATTTTTCGATTAATTTAAGTTGCAGTTGCACATTACAAATTAACGATAAGCTTAATATCCTACCAAAGATATACCAAATAACTCTGTCAAAGCCTTTCAGCAAAATTGAGTCATCATTACATGCATAAATAATGTCGAGATATAATAGCGTACATGACGGAATCTGAAAATATTTTATGATTATTAGTCATAACCTTCAGGCTAAGTTATGAGGTATATGTGTACTATGTCTTTTTTGTATTTATTGAATTACAGAACACTGTAATAACAATTTAACGGTTTAAGCGACAAAGCCCATCTGCATATAAGACGAGTTAATACCATTGGGTTTTGTAAACAATAAACCTACATCGCAGAATAGGCTGTCAATCAGCCTGCGGCCAAACGTCAATACTAATAAGGATAAACGCACACTGATCGCACATTCACAAAATTACTACTGAGTAAAAACTTAAACACATTTGGGAAAGGTAAGAGACAAGAGTTACTTAATCATATTAGAAAAAATACACTTTTGAAATAAACCTTTGTCGTTAGATGGCTGAACGAGAGGTTATATAATATTTATAGGTATTAAGATATACAAATGGAATTTATTTTAAAATAAGCTTTGTTTCAATCTAACAAAGATTCATCATGTAAACTAAATTACACATTGTTTTATCCTTGAGTAGAATTCCGGCTCTTTCCTTAAACTTTAATCGTACGATTTGGTGCTGAAACATTAATGACTATAAGACGTATTCATTTGGATATTTGTCACGTCACTAATTCAATACCAAATAGTTGCCTGAACATTGTTGAAGCGAGTTCACTATAAATTCAGACAAAATTGGTTTATTACCATCATATCATTTTGTGGGAGAAAGATTTATCACGCAGCCATTATATTGCCGTCCTCCATAAAACTTTGCCGGCATCTCAAGGATATAAAATTACTAAAACTCTTGCCCGTAAAATCATAAATCATGTTTAAAAAAATTTACAAAACCGCCTCGTTTCACTGCAAAGGCTGATTACATGACAAAATCTACAAATGTCTAATTATATTACTTTAAAGTTTAAGCTGTCGTCGTTTCATTTGTGTAATACATATGCATATGTGTACATAATAAAATTCATAAAACGTCAACAGTGTTGTATAGTTAATGGAATAAGTTGTTTAAAAAAAAAAACTTAACACATTCAATAGAATATTCACATGCGAATATGCGATACAGCAACAGAAAATGTTTTCAATCGAAAAACTAGTTTCAAAAAAATACCTCGCTTAAACTATACCTATTTTTATTTCTTCGGCGGAGAAGGCCGAAGGGTAAACCTGATATGTCAAGAATTACCTGAAAATTTAAAAAACAATATGATTATATTTAAAAAATTAAAATTATTATTTCAAGTTGCGACTTGGGATTAAAAGTTTTCTAAAAAAAAGTGTGTCTAAAAATATAATAAACTAGTTTTTTGGAAAAATTAAAATAGTTAGGCAAGTAAAATGATAATAAGAAAACTAAGGAAACATTAAAACGTAGCGGTATTCGTAATATCCAATTGAATTCTTTTTTGATGATTTTTTTCAAATAACAATAAAATCAAACAATGTAATTGTTTTCGATTTTTCGAAAAACCGATTTCTTTCTGAAATTAATTTTTTTCTTTTTTAAGCTAGTTCTTTATCATTTTCTTTTATTTCAGAGATTACCCTGGAAATAATCCCTGGTTTTTCTCGGAATATTCCTGACTTTTTTTTGCCGAGTAAAATTTCCAGTACTTCGATTTCTACTATATTATATAATATAGTATTATTTTACGTTTAACGCGAATTCAATTTTAGTCGGCTTATTACAAAACGGTGGCTCGTGAATTAATTTTAACGTTTCGCAGCACACAGCCAAACCATGCTGGTAGGACGTTTAAACAATAACGCCGTGTTTATCGCGTCTCGCTTTTTGTATTGATCTTTTGACAAGCAGATTTCCATCTAACCGAAACAACCGTTTGCGTTTCGAAGCTCGTCCGGGCACCGTTTGCCCTTGTTCAAGGCGGCGGCAATAATTTAATTAATAATAACAACAAAATATGACACCTGCGCGGATCGGTCGTTCCTTAGGCGTGTCAGAAGTTAGTACGGCGCGATTAGAGCCGAAAAATGAAAAATAAAAAAACGTACAAGTATAGTACCTATTATTATTGTTAGCCGTGTAATTCCAATCGACGTCGGCAGAGGCTGCGGCGAGAAAACCCGATAAAAACTTGGCGGCAGATAAGGCGTACAAGGAGTCTTAAACGGGACTACACGCCGGTACAGGCTGGCGGGTCGGTGGGGTGCAGTATATAGTAGTGTAAAAGTTCTATATATATATATATGATTTTTGTGTGCGTAAGTACGAGGGGGAGCAGTCGAAAATCTCGCCCGGCAACCCCGAAAACCGAGGGACGATATGATAAATAAAAAAGCACCGAAAAAAAAACGCGGGCGATGCACGGCCGGGGTCAGAAAATCGATGGTCGGCCCCGGTCGGTCGCGGTCGCCGCCGGCCGACGCCCGAACGCCGCGCCGGGGATCCTCTCGACCGGAATTCCACGCACACACCAGCACGCACGTTCGTTGATACCGGCCGACGTCCGTTTCGAGTCCCGTTCGCTTTTGCCGCCACCGCCGACCGAGAGTACAGTGCCTTTTTGGGTATTTTTGATTTTTATTTTCTTGTAAAAAAATTTGCTAAAAAAAAATTGTACTGTCGCGCCACAGCGTACGGTATTATTATTACTATATTAATCGTCGGGGGTGTGTGTGTGTGTGTGTGTACTCTGAACTTCAGCCGTCGTCGAGTTATGCCTGGACAATTATCATTGTTTTCCCGAGGAATACTCACCACGTCGGGATAAAGTCGTTTGGTTCAGGAACACGGCCGCCGTCCACTTGCCGGTGAGTGCCAATCCACAACTATAGTATTATTATTATTGTATATATTGTTGTTAGAGCAATAGAAAATTTTACCGGTGACCGGTCGAAGGGGTTGAAGTATTACCGTCAATCGGTCTTGTGCGTGTGATCGAGTGATGACAACAGATCCGTACTCAACGCTCTATAATCTATATAAAGGCTGTCTAATTACGACCGGACTGGCCTAGTGGCACCGAATTCGTTTTTATGCACGCTGTACCAAAAAAAAAAAACTCTTTAATATAAATCCACCCTCCGCGATGATCGTCTCGACCACGAGATATTTCACGTTTATTTACAAGATTTACGGATAATTAATGCGATTGAACCATCTCGATGGTTGTGTTTTGGCGCCAAGGCCTATTGAAAAGGATACCGGGTTCACCTTTCGAGTGTATCCATACCCTGGCGGATAGATACACACTCGCCTCTTCTAATATACGCTTAGGTACCTACTTGTTTTTCGTTTGGACATTTCAAGCCGGCTTTGGTTACTAAACCTGTGATGTAAAATAATGTATTGTATTTAAATTTCGGTCGTGCGCGTGAAGTTGTGTGTATTTTTTTCCCTGACGGCTGACATGGGATGAGACGAAAAAACCGTTGGCATTTTTCGAAATTACACATCGTAGCGGGTAGTTGTGCGCACACAACACATACACACACGCCTACCCTAATGGTCCTGTACGTTGAAACATTAGCACGTCGATAATATAATAGGTTTTTGGTCCAGAGAAACCCGGCAGTCATCGTCGGTCGCACTCGCTCCCTTCGCCTCTCGGTAATAAATAATCTCCCCCGCCGCAAGTGATTTTTTTGACGTTAACAAAATACCCGACGATTTTTCATTGTTCGTCAATCACGGTCCGATCCGCGAGAATTCTGGGCCAAGTGGGTAAAGGGGCAGGGGGGCATGGGGCAATTCGAACACCAAACCCCCCCCCCCCGCTACCATCATTGCGGTGCCGGACGAAAATAAAATCAGTATAAATAAAACGCCGCAGGATCAACGATGGTTGTTATTGTGTGTTCCGACCAATACCAAAAAAAGTACCTGTTTCACAGGGATAACGTTGTTATAATAATAATAATAAAAGTAACTATTCAACGACAACCTCTAACCGGTCCGGTCGGCGACTGAAGGGACTACATTTTCCCCGTTTCCAAAATACCACAGCAGTATAACAACAATTATTATTGTGTGCGGATGAACCGAACCGTTACGGTCTAATCTCGGTGAGGTAACGTTGGAAAAAAATGCGATTCTAGTGCACGTCCCGGCGTTGGTTGGTGCTCATAAAAAAAAATCTCGACTTAACCACCAAACGTTAATAAGCCAACCGATGACGTGGTAATAATACGGACAGAGGTTGTCGAATGACAAGTATACCGCAAATGAAAGGAAGACAGACGATACAAGAAGCAACAAATATATAAAAGGCACTGAAACTCAAAAGAAGAACAAATAAGAAAAGTAAATATATAAACTAGTGAGAGAATAACGAAGCAGTAGGGATAGTAGTAGGGATGAATGTAAACGGACGAATATAAAGAGAAATGTGTTGAAAATAGTTGGTAGAGATAGTTGACGAGATACGAGGATGGCTGGTGTGAATGCAGAAGATGTTGTGCGACACTTCAACTTTGAGGTCAAGGGTGACCGATCCCTAATAGGGTGCGTAGCGGTGAGAAAGAATTTGCCAGAAATATATCGAACACTACTATAAGATATAATAATAACGATGAGTTTAGATGATGGATTCAGACAAACAATCATCGTTGTAAAATTCATATTTGCTTTGATATTGATTTCTTAAGTATTTAATGCCGGTCAAAGGCATCCGTCTTTCGAAAGCCAAAGCCTCGAAATGTCTTTTGATCTGCCGGGAAAATTGACATAGTCGACAATACTATCAATAAGTTCATCGTTACTGAAACTCATTTCTCTACTGCATTCCGTACTTGCATGCCACGGAACATAATTATTGCCGCCAGTACACATATTATATTGTGTGCGTCGTCGTCCGTGGTGAGAATTTGGCCTAGACTTCAATTACGGCCAAACGTTTTTGGCGGCAAACCCGTGTAAACGTTAACCGGAATCGAGGTCACGCAAAGATGGTGGACATGACGTTTGTCGAGCAATCATAATTACTATTGTTATGATAATGTGTGCGATTCGGATGTCGGTAGGTGACACAACGTCTACACGGTGCCGAGCCTACGCCGTAGTTTTCATCTCGGTTGCGAAACGTCACATCCGAATGGTTTCCCAACTGAAAGCCATAAAAAAGAAACGCATAGTAACCACTATAGGCCCCACCGACCACCGCCGTACGAATCCCGAACAATAGGCCTCTGCCCTCCCCGTCGCCTGTTCGATAACAGCTGCGCAGCCATATACAATAATCAAAACATATTATATTATATTATAATATAGTAAACACGGTACTACGTCATACGCACGTTCGCCGATCCCGTTTGTTGTGGTAAACTAAAAATCATTGTGATAGAAAGACAAAAATTAAAAAAAAATCCGTGTCATCGAACGAACGAGATTCGCTTTCGCCGAGCAGTTATTTGCTGTGCTGTGTTGTACATTAAAATAATATAAATATATATATACACACAGTTTATTGTGTATAAACGTTATTTAATCACGACGGTTCCGAAGAGCAGACGTTTTAATTGCTGAGCCAAGCAACAGATGCAAAATAAACCGTTCGGTTTCGTTTTCCGTTCAAAGGAAGTCGTTTGCCGGCGCCGTGAAAGACGATCCGGATTAATGTTTGCCGTCGGAGACGCCTTACTCGTTTGTGTCATCCTCGATGATCGATTCCTGATCAACACTGTACACTGTGCACCTAAAGGTGTAACATGATTTTCGTTCCTAGACTCTAAGTGCAATAGACACTAAAGTATGTCTACATATTACACTAATTATTCACTTATTCACTCGTTAAAAATTGTGCTTTTGAGATCAGGTCGATGATAATGATTGTAAACGATAGTGGCTACTCAAGTAAATTAACCAAAATTATATAATTACAAACAAATATTCAATTGTGAATAAAGATACTTGAGTATTTTATAAAATGTGATTGTGTATTCGTCTTGAAATTTTGTTTGGGTTAGTTTACTGCAACTCTATGCCTGTCAATCGTGATTCGGCTCCTTTAAGTCCTGAAATCTTTTCCTTGTGTTATTTAGAAGTTGCGCAGTATAATCCGCTTTTGGTCTTCCTTTTCAAATGTGTCCTTATACATCCTCATGTCTTTCAACTATCGTCTTATCTGTCCTGGGTCTAATACTTTGCCGTAGTTGCCAGTTTTTCGTTTATAGTTCTCTCAGCTCTCATTAGATCCCGAGAATTTTACAAAACGCCCACATTCCAAAGTCCTTTGAATCTCCATTTTTCTACTATTCTTTCATCTTGAAATAAACACTAAAACTGTTAGCAAATATTTTGTAAATGTTGTTCAAAGTTTCCAAATACACGTGACGTCTTTCAGATAAATGTATATTAGTCATAATTTTGATCTCATGATCAAAGTTTATCCGAGTAAACAACGATATATTTTATCCTACTCTATAATATAATGTACCGATACGCGTTGTTATTGGAAAATGAAATGCCACTTGGAATCGACTTTGGAATCAAAGTCAAAGTATTACCCGTCGATCAATGGTAGGTATATTATCCATCAAATCGGCGGACTGGCGAGGCACAATGCTCATGCCCACATACCCACAGAGTATCATTTTAATACCTACCATCCAATCGGTCGACGAGGCAGAGGAGGGTGTTTTCGCTCAGTCTTAATCGCATTCAAAGCTCCCGACCCGTCACAAAGTACGGACGAGAATCATAAATCCATCTAATACTGGCGGGGTTTAAACTAGGTAGATACCGCTTGTGTGTTGTGTGTGAATGTGCGGCCAGTCGAGTGTTTTATAAATATTATTATGTTAATCGCCGGCCGGTGCGTGTCAATTATTTCAGCTGACAATAAAGCATACAAACGAGGCGCACAGCAATTTGTCAAAAGCTTACGTGGAGAACGATCAGCCGGGGCGAAATGACAACTTGGGCCCCTCTGTCGATGTACGAATATAATAGATAAATAATTATTGTGGTACACAAATAGCACGCCTCCGCCGGTGGTTTACTATAATAACTAATAACGGTTCAGTGGACGGATTCGGACGACTTTCGATAAAGAATCGACATTTTATTTATATTTTTTCAATACACAGACAGACCGAGTACTTTTATTGAGGAAAAAGACGGTATAAAATAAAATTACGGTACCTACTCGAAAAAAACGAAAAGAGGACATTAACATTTGGCGCAATCGGATGTATCTGCATAACTTAAATACCCAACTGTATCACGGAAAAATTAAGACCGAGTCTATCGTTTTCGATTATTAAACGAAACAACAATTATTAATACTAAAAACTTATAACGGATTTTTAATTAAGTTTCCCCATTGTTTCACGTGTATTTCGTTTGTCATAAATTATACCGATTCGTGAGTATACAACCAACCCCACCCCTCCGTCCGACTTTTTATTTCTGAATCGGATTTAAATAATTAAACTAAAACCAATGACCGACCAATAACCAGTTATGAATAACAATTAGGTATCACTTGATTTGTATTTCACCGTTATATATTTTTTTTTTCAATTCTCCAACGGTTTTTTATACGGATCCCTAGATCTCGGACTATAGCCGTTTGTACACTTCAGAAGGCCACAAAGTTTACTTCTATTTTATGTCTTCCGCATGTCGCTGAACTCCCCTCTTTGTTTTGTATATGGCACATGACACGAATGAGATTGATATTTCAATGTCCTGTTATGGATGTTAGTGAGAAAGATAAATTTTAAAAATTATACATTCGTAATAAACGGGAGTCGCGTGAAATCTGTTAAAATATCTTAAATATTACTTTTCTTTGTTCATACTCTGGGTT